TTTGATATTTATTACACTATAAATTGTCCCACAAGTGATATACACTACGATACACAATTCTGCAACATCAGTATTTTATTTGGATTAATGATCTTGCCTTGGTTATTAAAATAGAAATTTTTTTGAAAGTAAATTCAAAACAGTTTTGGCCTGATTTCAATATACTGTTGAAGTACAAATTTTTGTGGGGATAAATTGATTTGTCATTCATAAACGTTTCATGGGCATTAATTTTTTTTCTTGTGGATCGATACATAAAAAATTCTATGAGATTTAATATTAACAACAAAACATAGGAAATTAGATTTCCAATGAATATATCTGCTTGAAAAAAATTTGTCACACAAGTAGACGCCAATAAATACGTATATAATTCTGTGTATCGGTTTCTCTTTATTGCAATGAGCGTTGTATCCGTGGTTGCTTTAGGGGTACCGACCTTTTGATAAGAGAAATAACTTTCCAGATAAAAAAAAATTGAATACTTCTCAAATGTTCTCAAATGTTTCTTTATTAGAGTTTAATAATTGACACTATTTAAATTGGATTCCAAAACTTTATAGCAATTCTTACAAAGATACATAGCGGGTTTCAGTAAACGCTCAACCAAGCCTTTTTCTTTACTCCTCGCTAAGACATTAACAGTATTGAAGGAGTAACGTCAAGGTACTGTGCAACAATATATCCAAGAAGTGGTGTACCCATGGGTACCAATTGTGTCCTGTTATTAGCAGACCTATTTTTGTATTCATATTATAAAAAAAATAAAAGGAAAATTTGTTCTTTTTTGTGGACCATATGCAGATTATCTCATTGACTGCATGGAACTCGCATAACATCGCTTGGCTTGTGGAGGTACCGGGATTGCTCAATTTCGCTATACTGTCTTATTATTTAATTCCTTTTAAATTTGTGGACCAGAGCGGCTGCCATGGTTGGGGAGTGGAGATGTTACCCAACCTGTATAAAATGCAACCAAGACAGTCAAGATTCAGCTTTCCACTGAAGTCCTGTCTATCCCGGCCAGTCATTTTATACTAGGTGTACCTTTGTCGATTTATATCTCCATATTTTAAACTCCTTCAAAATTTGCAATAATTACTTTAAATTTTTATTTGAATTTTAATTACTATTATTCTGACCTTGAGTACTTTTAAAATTTCTAATGCACTTTTGAAATAATTTCCAATCTTTTGCATAATCTTAAAATATTATTTGTTGTAGCTAATTTATTCAAATATCTCACCTCTGGTCACTTCATTACCATTGGTTCCTTATTCACCCTAACCAAATACATCTTTTCATAAACAAGCAAGTAGCAGCTGCATTCCCATGATCTATTTCGTGGGACCGTCCGATTTAAAAGTTTAATTCCTATTGATCAGCCTCTTTAATTACTTTTATCTGTAGAGCTCGCGTTCGTTATCTTTTGTCAGACTAAAACTGCAAACTCATAAAATTTGTTTCATTCTTATATTTACTGCAATTTTTATTATGATAAATCCCCCTACTGTCGAAAATCTTGTCCCCAAGATTTGTTTAAAGAGATTATGATACGAAATAATCTGCCTTGCTGCGAATTTCACATAAAACCGAATGTTCAAAGTGATATTTATTTGATATCATCGCACCGACTTAAACTTTATTTGAAATTTATTTAAACGTACGAATTTTCAGATGGCTTTAACAAAGGAAATACATAGACACATATTACTATATATTACGTTATCTAAATGCACACACAAAGGTAGAGAATTACAAAATACACTTTCTAAAAAAATACAACATATAAAGACACAAAAGATACGAAAAACACTGTGTACAATTGTCTTGGTTTTTTTCTTTCTCTCTCTCTCGGCATTGGTGGCAGTTTTTTCAGGAAAAAATACAGTAGTGATAAAAAACGTAAAAAAAAAAATCTTGATTAACAAAAACAAATGCTTAGACCTTATGGAATACATGTAAACATTCTCATTATATGGATTGAAACACTTTTCACAAAAATATTATTGTCGTTGGATATACCCCTTTTTCACAATTGACAAAAAATATGTTTTTCACAGTACCGAAAGGTATACACTTTTCCATTTACATGCATAATAATCCTACATCTGACGCATACTCTGCTCTTTTGTCTGCTTTGAAAAAAAAATCTTTAAAAGTTAAGTCTTTATGAAAGGAGGAATGATTCTCGTAATTATTTCGGAAGAATGGAAATAACTTTATCCCTTCCATTACGACCATTTTCCCTTCAAATTTTTCTCACCAAACCTCATGTTTGGTTGACTATTATAAAGTCCCGACTTAAACTTTAACCTAAATGAATGGCATAAGGGATTCCCTTTACTATCTTTCAAGGCCCTTAAAATTCCCATTTTTAGGTTTTAATTAGATTCTCTCGCAAGAGTTTGTGACTATATTCAACCTAAATGAATGGAATCAGGGGTTTTCCTTTACTATCGTTCAAGGCCCTTCCCATTTAGGATTTATTTTTGTATCGTGCTTTACCTATACAAATGGTCAACGGGGTTTCCTTTACTTTTATGACCCTTCCCATTTATAGGTTTTTTTTCTCTTGATTTTGTCTCATAAATATAACTTTAAGAACACTTCATCTCTTATTTTGCAAGTCCCTTTATATTTGCTTATAAGCATCATCAGTCTTATTTTCAGGTAATTCATAAAACATTGACCATGTAAAAAAATTATCAACAATATGACAACATTCTAAATACCGTCGTCGTAAAAATTTTTTTTGCAAAACAAACTTAAGGTAGACATTTTGAAAAACAATTCTATCCTACCTGTACTGTATTTTTTTTTTCAAAGTCTTACTCGTAGGACTCAAAAATTAAATTGTCCAACAACTGGATGATTCGTCTTCACATCGGCACTTGGATTCGAAAGCAGGGGCTCCGGCACAGAATTATAGTCGTTTATTTTAAAAATATAAAATTGTTCCTATTTTCGGCCACCAAAGGACGGACTGGTAGTAGTCGTATCAAATGTCCTATTATCACAAGAGTTTTTAGTTCGTTTCGTCTGTTTCGATGGTCTCGCGGTCCGCACAATTTTGTTAAAACGTCTTAGACCTAGTTGGTGCTGCCCAGGGAGCGTCAGGTCTCTTGGCCTCGTCGATCGTCTGACGGCTCTGGTCCGTGTCTCGCCTGTTTTCAAGTCCTGTGTTCGAAAATCCAGTGGAACCGTCGGCTAATTCACGTCTGGAGGGGGCGACTTAGAGGACTGTCACAGGCTATTTCCTTTTATCTGAATCTGATCCCATTTCTCCACCACTTTTCATAAAAAATAAAAGGAAAATTTGTTCTTTTTTGTGGACCATATGCAGATTATCTCATTGACTGCATGGAACTCGCATAACATCGCTTGGCTTGTGGAGGTACCGGGATTGCTCAATTTCGCTATACTGTCTTATTATTTAATTCCTTTTAAATTTGTGGACCAGAGCGGCTGCCATGGTTGGGGAGTGGAGATGTTACCCAACCTGTATAAAATGCAACCAAGACAGTCAAGATTCAGCTTTCCACTGAAGTCCTGTCTATCCCGGCCAGTCATTTTATACTAGGTGTACCTTTGTAGATTTACATCTCCATATTTGTAACTCCTTCAAAATTTGCAATAATTACTTTAAATTTTTATTTGAATTTTAATTACTATTATTCTGACCTTGAGTACTTTTAAAATTTCTAATGCACTTTTGAAATAATTTCCAATCTTTTGCATAATCTTAAAATATTATTTGTTGTAGCTAATTTATTCAAATATCTCACCTCTGGTCACTTCATTACCATTGGTTCCTTATTCACCCTAACCAAATACATCTTTTCATAAACAAGCAAGTAGCAGCTGCATTCCCATGATCTATTTCGTGGGACCGTCCGATTTCAAAGTTTAATTCCTATTGATCAGCCTCTTTAATTACTTTTATCTGTAGAGCTCGCGTTCGTTATCTTTTGTCAGACTAAAACTGCAAACTCATAAAATTTGTTTCATTCTTATATTTACTGCAATTTTTATTATGATATTCACATGATGCAGAATTTGTCCAAAATCTTATGCGCGAAAAGAAGAAAATACTTGCTGTGGCCTTCAGCATTATCTACATTTAGATAAATCGACGACGTTTTGTCAATCAATAATGGTAATTTTTATTCTTATTTTGACAAGTCTATATCCTGATGAGCTTGAGATAAAAGATACCACCAAGATGCATATATTTTATATTGGCGTTTGATTTCGATGAACAGTACTGCATTTTTAACTAAAAAAAAGAGAGATTTCTCAGAAACATTCTTTTTGAAAGATACTCCTTCTACAGTTTTAGTCTGATTGCAATCTTTCCACGAAAAGAGACTAAATCAAAGAATATTGTTCTATTTAGAGTATGTATTGCTTTTGCAAAGTTTCAAGACAAACTAATATCTTTCTCTTTTTTTTTTATTATAAATACAAACCGGTAGAGCTGCAGTCTCAACAGAGACATACGGTTTATAATTAGTCTTAAATGAACAGTCTGTTGACTGTTGAATGCCACTTTGCATTCAATCAAATTCTTGGATTTCAAGTTGACAAATCCCTTTTAAGTGATTGGACCAGTTACCTAAAAAGTATAAGTGCATGCTGCGCCTAAGATAGATGTCAAAACAAGTAATAAATTTTTAGAATCTGCCAGACTCTTTTTAGATGCTGGAGTACTTCTTTATTGATAATCATTTAATTTGTTTAAGGATCTTGTAAACATACAGCATTACTTGATGAAACAAATTTGAGATAATATTAATTGGATGGGACATACGACGTAAATAGAAAATAATCTAAACAATTCGGGGGCTTATATTTTACAAATTTTGTGTTTAGACAAATAAATAGAAAATGTTTCATCTCGGATTCACCATATTAAATTTATCATATTGAATTACACATTTTGCATGGGAATAATAATGATTTTTAATTGTTTAATGCTGAATATACTTTGTTTTTAGATGGTGTTCTTAGCTTCCTAGAAGACTTAGACAAAACAAAGGACTTTTTATCATGTATAAACTGCCAACAAGAGTTTGACAACAGTAGACAAAGTCCTCTTTTATTGCCGTGCTTGACTGCCATCTGTAAAAAGTGTGTACTTGTTCTATTAGCATCAAAGAACACCTCCATTGAATGTCCATACTGCAAGTGTTCCCATGCTTGTGCTGAGAATGGAAGCATCACATTACCCCGAGACACTATAAGAGAAGGCGTCTTGGGAATTTTTCATGTGATGAAAGGAGAATCCGACCTGAGATGTGAAATGTGTACAGGTGCACAGCGAGCATCGCATCGTTGTTTTGACTGCTCTCTCTTTATTTGCGAAGAATGTACTAAACTACACTCTAGTTTGAGAACTTTTATGAACCATTCCTATGTAGAAATAAGAAGTCTCCTAACTAGAAACAAGGACAGTCTTAAGTTGTTTTCTCCCACTCTGTACTGCTCTATTCCTGGCCACGAACAAAAAATATTAGAAATATTTTGTTCGTCAGAGTCGTGCAAGAGATTAATTTGTTTACTGTGTGCTGTAAACGCCCACAAAACGCATGATTTATGTGAAATACCTCAAGTTTTGAGCGAGAAGAATAAAGCTTTAAGAGAGTTGAAGATTAGTTTGAAAACTAGAAATGAAAATTTATTCAAGTCCTTAAAAGAGCTCGAGGAAAAAAGAAATGCAAGTTACACAGAGCCTGCTCAAATAGAAAAAGAAATAAAATTGTGTTTCAGTAAAGCGAAGTTGGTTTTAGAGAAAAGGGAGAAGGAACTCTGTGATGTTTTAAAAAAGAAACAAAATGAAAGGGAGGCTGCCTTTGAGTTAGGGAAATGTCGGCTAAGTAACATTGTTGATTCTCGTTTGCAAGCCTTACATTATGTTGATGCATCAAATGCTCTTCAGTGTCCCTCTTCGTTTATAAATATTTCTATGTATATGGAATCACGTCTGAAAAGTCTAGAATCTGAATTACCGAGAGGAAATTCTCAGAGCTTTGAAAAGATTAATTTCATTCATAAAGAACTAGATTTATTGATTGATGGTGCAAAAAGAATTGGAGAGATTGTTACAACCAAGGCAAGTTCTTCCAAGACCGAAGCATTTGCAAGTCCATCGACTTGTGCTGTTGGTTCAGAAATAGTATTTACAGTTAAACTGAAGACATCATCTGGAGAGCTCATAAATGATGAAAGCGTTCAAGTGTGCATATGCCGCAATGGAAAACCTTTTAAATTTATTCCTTGCTTCTATGAAAAAACCAGCAGTTACATTGGAAATTGGGTACCTGACAAAGCAATGAAATCCACATGGTATATTCTTACTAACGGCATTAAATTAGACCTACCAAGAGATGGCACCTTGCATGTCATTGACAACTGTATCATAGAAAAAGGTACATCCTAATTTTTTTTAACAGAGAATAGCATTCCACAAAAAATTGACCATACATTTTGACCATACAATTTTCTTACTTTTTAATAACTTTAACCTTATCAATAACCTTTGAACGGTTTGGGCTAGGGCTTTCATACCCCCCATATGTATTCTTTCTGGCAAGGCCTTTCTTTAGAACCAACAACCTTGACCCTTTGACCGTTTGATCTACCTTTAAAATCGTTAACATTGTTTATAACTTTTGAACAGGTGGTGCTAGGGTTTTATATTTCACATTTGTCATTTATATTTCATGTGACGTCATTGTATTGATGCACCAAATGTCACGCACGGTTTAACAAGCCCGATCTAAATTAAAACTGCATAAGTACCTGCGCTCGCACTAACGGTCGCACCGCCATCATATTGCAAAAAATGCCAATCTTAATCCAATCTTAAATATTAAATATATTTTTTCATTTTAATTAAAGAAGTGAAGAACTACCGTAATAACCTAATAAATGGAGCACAAACCCCTAATTTAATATACCGTTAAAGCGATCGCAGACACTTGTTTTAATTTGGGTTCGTCAAACCGCACGTGACATTTGGTGACTTTGACGTCACATAACAGCATATGTTAGTTGCATTACCAAAAAGAAGCCTGAACAAGATTGAAAGTAATGAAGAACGGTTAGTTTAAAATTCTTAAAAATTTTGACGTATATACATGTATGTTGTATTACCAAACCGATGGCTATTAATGAGGAACCTGGAAACATTTATTGACTATTCTTCTGCAAAAATTCAAAGCAACATTATTACTTTAAAACTTGCGAGAACGTAATTTGATGCATTGTGGGTTCAAAGATACTGCCGAAAATATCGATTGAATGTGCAATAGTCCGATTTTTCTCTTCGTCCAGTTGTCTTCAGGGCTTAAAGCGTCACAGCGACGCTCGCTGTGCTCGTTATTATCTGCAACATCATGCTAGACCAAAATTAATATGCCTATAATGGAAATCAAACGTATTCGACGTGACATAAGCATCTACATGTACATGTATAATGAATCTTTTACAAACAAGTCAGTCTTATCTTGCTTTTTTAAGTACAATAACCGTTGTACATGCTGTAGGAGACATTTTTAAAGTAAAAGATAAGTCGCAAAACATTTTTATTAATTTTTGGTTTCATTTTTAGACGTGTCCAAGCTTGACAGCGTAAAAGCGTTGGTGAGTTGCTTTATAAAAAAAGTGTTCCTTCTATTTTTTCCTTTTAATAAATAGAGATTATGACATACTAAATCAATATCATATGTCGTATCAGCCTAAATGGCCTCATATCAGCCCGAAGACTGATATGGATTTTAGTATTTAGTATACTATTTATCATATATTTAAAATACTTAATATGCGAGTTTAAATAAAGTCATTGAAAAATATTTCGTGCCCGTTTATGACCTTTTTCTTTAAAATTGATTAGAGTCAATTTTAGAGGGGGGGGGGGGGATTAAGACCACAACTGTTATCGAAGAATAATTTACAGGTATATTTAAATGAAGTCAAGTTGATTAACTTTTAAACTTGTATAAATATTAGTACCGGTTTCATATGGATTTTTGCACGCCAATCCAATACGTGATATGAATTTTAGGACCGGTCCTTGATGTGATGTAATGTGACGTCATCAATATAGCACAGTGCAGAATCCGTGAATTTACTTCAAAGTATATGATTATATAAGGCCTAGAGATTGTCGAAAACATAATTAATTAATGATAAAAAAAAATTCCAAATTCAATTACCCTTGCAAGATAAGGTAACTACATTTCTCTTTATTGCAAATGTATATGGCAGTCTTATCTACTATTCCTAATTTTTTTTTCTTTACAGCCAGAGAAGATGCCAAAACAAAGTGAACAAAGAAATAAGCGCTTTGAAAGTAATGAGACTGAATCAGATACTAGTATGTCCCTTTCTACAGTTTCTAGTGAAACATTTGAAGTGAAAGTAACGGATGAATTTATCGTTAAAATATATCAGGGCAGTATTACTAAACTCAGAGTTGATTGTATTGTCAATGGTGCGAATGATAAGCTTATGCATGGAGGTGGAGTAGCACTTGCAATAGCAGAGGCAGCAGGATATGAATTCGATAGAGAGAGTGTGGAGTATATCAGACAGCATGGTCCAATACCCATTGGGAAGTGTTGTGTGACATCTGCTGGCAAACTCCACTACAAGTGTGTAATTCATACTGTAGGTCCTAGATGGCATGACTATAACAATGATGGAAAGAAATACTGTTTTGATGACTTGCAAGAAGCTGTTGAAGTTACATTCAGAGAAGCAGAAAGATTGAAAATGACCTCAATAGCTATTCCAGCCATTAGTTCGGGTAATTAATAATTATAAAGTTTAAGTTGAATGGGTATGAAATTGTATTTTCAAGGTCATGAGGAATCATGAGAGAACAACCCCATTCGTCATAAGTTTTAAACATAGTAATCAGACCCACTGAAAAAATTTGTATAGTATATACAGAGCAAATACTGTAAACCAACTGTTATTCACGTGCAGAAAATATCTGCGAACTTTGCCACCTACTTTAATTCGCGAATTAATCGCCCTAAACCATTTATCTTTCGTAGCATTTGTAGAGAATGTTTCCTCAATCACTTAAATTAATCGTCGCGAATTGATTTCAAACTGAAAAATCGCGAATAAAGATGACGAGAATGATAATTAGTTTACATTCAACTTATCATTATAAAACAAGATGTGTTTTTGAGAGACATATGGCAGCTTTTGACGAATGTTGCAGTTTCTCGTATCCAAATCAATTTGCAAGGTCAAGTGATAACAAAAAATGTACCCAAACAAAAGACTTAATCGATATACCTGTGAAATATGAAAGCCAGCGCACTAACCACACCAAAAATTGTGGCCAAAAATTAAGTTTGTTAAATGTAAATCTAACTTAAAAGTCTAGGTCAAAGGGTCAAATACAAGGTACCAAGGAAAAAACCTTGTGATAGGAAATACGCATATATGAAATTAAGCCGTAGCACCTACTGTAAAAAAAGTTATGGCCAAGGATAAAGGTGTTCAGAAGAAGGTCAAACTCCAATTAAAAGGTCAAAAGGTCAATATTGTTGGTACCCAAAGGAATGCCTTGTCGCATGGGATACATCTTTGGAATATGAGGGCCCTACTACTAGCTGTTCAAAAATTATGTCCAACGCGTAAGTTTTTTTTAAAAGTGGTCAGTAGTATAAGGCGCCTGGTTGGCCGGGTCAACTGAGTGCACTTTTGGGGTTGGGGGGATAGCCGGGTCAAGCGAGTGCAGATTGGGGGTCTGGAGGATAGCCGGGTCAACGGAGTGCAGATTGGGGGTCTGGGGGATAGGTGGGTCAAGAGAGTGCAGATTAGGGGGTCTGTGGGGGATAGCCGGGTCAATTCATTACATATAGCCCCTAAATACGGGGGGTGTTTACACTGTGTTTACATTTTACTATACGCTGCTACTACGATTCACAACGCTGCTACTACGATTTTGGCAAATACTCAAGAATGTC